ATGGTACAAAACATGTCCCATAATGAATATATGTAAAATGTATTGGATAGAGAATTGCAAATGCCAACAATGCCTGGTTTATTAGGAAAGGATCTTACAAGGCTGGGTGAATTCTTCCATCACCTTTTAAGAATAACACATTTCAGTAAATTTAGTGCTTTCTTTTTGCTCACTTCAGTACTGTATTTCCTCACATAATCTCACTGAATTAGTAAAACTTTAACCTTGGCTGAGAAAAAGACAAAGCAACTGGACAAAGTTCTTAATGAAAAGTGACATCAGTTATGCTGAATTCCTTTTCAGATATTACTGTTTTTCCTGACAGCTCCACATTAGCTGAACAACAAATGTTTGTACAAACATATAAAGTTTGGATTACAAACATGGCAGAAAGGATGAATGAGACACTGGAGACACTGTTGGATCTTCTGCAATATGTGTCAAAGGCTGATCTGTAACTACCTCAAAATAGGAGAAATCTATATCTTTTGCCTTATCATCTTAGGAGGGCTTTGTAATACTTACAGAGGGGAAACTACAAGAAATGATCTCTGAATGACGATATGGGCAAAATGATACCAGCCAATTCCAAAGTAAGATGGAAGGGGCAACACAGAGAAAGAATTCAAATGGTTCATCAGATACAGACTAACGTACTGATGTAGATATAGCAAGATTCACAGATACAATATCTATTAATACTGCATAATGAATAACACCATAAAGCAATTACAATATATGACCACGTTAGCCATTTTATCCTTCTTGAACTGCATATATTATATTACCTATATACGACTTCCAAGATCAAGGGCAGTAAAACTTAGTATATATAGAAAAAGAAAAGAAAAAATTCCCTCCCCAAAAACAATAACAAGAAAAAGAAACTTTTTCCCTTCATACCTAGCAAGCATATTCAGCATTAACAATGTATTGCTGTCTCTTAAATTACAACCAGTTACATCCTCATTCCATATCTCACCCCATTCTCTATAACCTCATCTCTAAATATTTAGCTCTCCTTATTGATCAACAATACTGTTTGTTAACTTTGTTAATGCACAAATAAATTGGGGTACTTTATAATGTAACATCACAGACAAGGGTTATGGAAATAATTGCTTTGGTAACTATAATAAGAGAATGAGGAAAGCAAACTAAATCCAGTCACTAATCTAACAGAACTGAGTAGATGGTAAAGCACTTTTAGCAGTGTTTTGACAAGTCTGCTTTACTTCTTAAAAAAAATTCCTTCATCACCAGCTGTGCCAAGCAATGAAAGAAGTCTGTTTTAGTAATTAGCGAACTCATAAACTGATCCACACATGCCCACAGGAATGGATGCATGCATATTTCTTAGTTTTTAGTCTCTGCAAAACATAGATATAATAATTCAAGACTCAAGAATTTATTTCAATCTGTTGCCCCAATATGGAGCTTCATTTTTTTCTGTTTATATAAAAATAGCATTTGAAGGATTTTTTCCTGTGTTACTTTCTGCCAATATATCATTTTCCCAACCAATGAAAAATGCATATATCATCAGTAAAGTGAGGGCAGATGGAAGAAATCTGGTTTGCATCTTAAACACAAAAAAGTGTTTTTGAAGCGTCTGATATTACAATATTGCTATGTAATTAGAAAGCAATTTAAAAACATTTTAAAAACAATTACATTACATGTTTTCTTCTGTTGAATCATGTTCAATTCTTGGAGACTGCCTAGAATATTCCCTGCAGCTTTCTTGGCAAAGTTTTTCCAAAGTGGTTTGCCATGCCTCCTTCTTTCCTGCTGAGAGAAAGTGACCAACTCAAGTTCACCCAGCTGTCTTCATGCCCAAAGTAGGATTGGAATTTATGGTCTCCTGATTTCTAGCTAGATGCCTTAACCACTAATAATCCACTACATGTTGGTCCACTACACCAAAATGAATGTTATATTGCATTACTATTACACCTAATCCACATTTCATCTGTTCCTAGCTTTCTTTCTTTGGTTGGGAAGGGGGGATTGTAACTATTTGTTTAATCGATTTAGAGGGCACCCAACTCTGCAGGATTTTCAGTTTAAAAATTGCAAAAGAAAACCATTCTTGAGTGGTTCAAAGAGAGACATATTAACAGAACCCCCTATCCAGCAGGAGTCATCCATGACCTGCCCCCAGGTCTAGAACTATAGCCATGTCTTCAGGAGCTTCCTGAATGTCATCATGGTGTTGCCATGGAGGAAGCCATTCAGATCTTGAGGGGAGGTGATTTATTCCAAAGGGCAGGCACTGCAGCAGAGAAAACACACTTTTTGGAGCCCATTAGATGACACTGCTTAATTGATAGAACTCAGAATGTACTTACTCTGCCTGATCTCACCAGATGAATAGAAGCAATTGGTAACTGGTCATCCCTCAAATAACCAAGTGCTATGCCATTAAGAGTGTATAGGTAATAGCCAGCACCTAGAAGCCAGCTGGTAACCATCACATGTGCATAACAAAGAATGCTACCATATTCTCACTATGGAACTTGTATCATTATATCACCACTCATGCTAAATATAACCATAAAACTACCCCAAAAAATATTGAGAGCCTTGCTTAGTATTTTGTGTTTGATAGTATTTGAAGTTATGTGGATCCTTTGGAAACCTTAAATAGCATATCTGTCGAAAAGCTAATAATCTATTAAAATTAATAATTTTAAAATGAAAGAGTCATCTCTCTCATTTAGAGGCTTTTTGTGTAGAAGTCCTTCTTGACATTGGAGTGTATTCATATAGCCTGAGATACTGTACATGTCTATGAGGCTGCAAGGCTGAATTGGTTTCCCATTATTATTATTATATTAAATGTATCAATCAATGCAAAGTTTCCTATCCTCCTGAAGAATTTTTCAGTGAAATCCATTGCTTTACTAGTATCATATTAGTACAGTTAACAAATAACGAACTTGCTGATGAAATTAAATGTCCCTGAAGCAACTTTATTGGGTTAGTGTTAGGGTCAAAAATTTCACTAGGTGGATAATATTGATCCATTGTGCCAATTGTTTATTAATGAGTTGAAAAAGATCATGAGATGCATCATTGTAAAAATAACAGCTTAATTCTGTATTTTCTTAGCATCTTTCTATATTCTAGTAATATAATTCATAAAAATACATATATCAAATTGCAGTACTTCCTCAACAATATTGCTGATAGCTATAAAGTGTTAAGTGTTATTTAGTTTAAACAAATATGTTATCAAGAAGGAAAATCAACACATTATAGAGTGAGTTGCCATCCAGAAATATCATGATCTAAGAGAAGAACCAGGTGTGATGGTGACAGTTCTGTATAGTTAAACATTGAACTGCCTCAGTCATCTATAACAAATATTGTTGGGGTGTAATGGAGTTTGCATTTTGTACATCATTGGATGTTATCCAGTTTTAAAATGAATGCACAGCTGAAGAGTACAGTTCTGATATATGAGCTTAGCTAAGAAGAAAGAGGTTTGGGAGAGAATATCCACAGCTAAGTTGGAGGTCAAGTGGAGGTGCTTCACTTGCTCACTGCTGCTGAGCAAACAGGGCTCATTCTGACCAAACGTTTTCAGCTTTTAAGCGCAGGCAAAATGTCTCTGCAATGAGATCTTGAATAATAATGTATTATAGTCACCATAAATTGAGATAATCAAATATTTTTGTAGTCTTTCTTTCCTTTAAGTTTTCTAAAGATATAAGCTTCATCAGACTCATCACAGCCAAACCTGACCATCTATTGACTCTCTACTCCAACTCTGACATAATTAAGAGTTATGAAAAGGTAGATTTGACACACAGTTTCACAATTTACTGACATATTTCTTATTCATGCACCATTTGTCTTTAAATGCTACCTTTTCTTTTGTATATGATATAAGTAAATCCATATTTAAGCATCCAGAAATACTATGGTCACATTTATTAGTAGCACTCTAGGAAAAACATGCAATCCGTTACAAGGAAAAGAGAGATACTTGAGATAAAAATGAAAATCGCTAAATGATTAGTGCAGACCAGTAGCATTTTATTGTGACTAAATAGTTGTGGGCAGAACTTTCTTTAATCTTCTGAGCCACTTGCAGCTAAATCCCAATTCTAAATAGAGTCTGCAGCAAAACAAAAATCCTTGCCAGGAGAACTGGAAATGCCAAAAGGGACTTATGCCATGTTGTGTCTGTATGTATGATACTGCTTACCAAGCCCTCCTTACAAAGAAGAATGCATAAAGAACATGTTCATGATACTGATGATGCATGATGTTCGTCTTCATATATAATGCATACATTATGATGCATACATGTTCGTGGTACTGATATTGGGAGGGGGGTATTAGAAAAATAAACATTCTGCATCTGTTGCTAGGAAATCTAGCGATAGATGCAGGACATTAGGACATTACTGGGATGAAAATGTAGAAAGAGAAGCAGCATACAGCAATAGAGACTTATCTTTCTGTGTTATTGAACTACGAGTACATTAATTTTTCAATCATTGAAAATCTGCCATAGAGACAGGTATCTCTTTTTATATGCTATCTTTTAGCCAGCATTCTATAGAGAATGAATATTGTGGGATTATGATATTATCCAGGTGAAATCTCTGTGTTGTCTTCATTGTTAAGCAATATATCCTTTCTCTTCTTTTTAGACCAGGTGAGTAGTAGTAGATCATCCCATTTGAATCTTTATTTTAAAAGGACAACTGACCTGCTGCATGCTAATCATTCTTTTGTGCAAAAAAGTCCTACACCTCTTTTCAGAGTTTCCTTAATCATTCTACAGTCAAATCCTCCATACCTTGAGCTCACACAAAACTGCCTCTGGGGGTGTGCTGAGCAAGAAGGGGTGAATTTGGCTTGTGTTTGAAATAATCCCTCTAATTTCTTCATGGTTTTTCCACCAATTCACAGAATTCATATGGCTTTTTTTCATCCATGTAACCTCTTACTATATTGGTCATTCCATTTTTCTTTCCTATTAGAGTGAAATTGGACACAGCCCTCCTCCTGCCTACACCCCTATGTCAGGAGTAAGTATTTCATGATCAACCTTCATCTTTTAGGATTTGTTTGTCTTTTTGAATGTATCCTATCATCTCTCTTCATGAATTCCACCATCCCATGTACTCTCTCATTCTCCAAGGGTAGGTGAGAGCTGATCATGTTGCTGAGTCCAGCTGAAAAACACAAATTTCTTAACTCTAACAGAAAATTCTAGGATAGAATCAGATGTTACTAGAGATTAATATCTGCTTTACAATAAATTTTTATTTTGTTTTGTTGAACAGAGTTCTCTGGACATTGTTCGGTTACAACTTATAATCATATAATAAAATTAGGGAGTGCTAAACATTGTAAGATTATCCTTGATTCTAAAATATTTGGGAGATTCAAAATGTTATCTTTGATTCATATATTTTTTGAAACTAGGATGGGTGTGCCTGTTCTAGTTTAGGTTGGTTTGATGATACTGAAACAGCTTTATGTATTAAAAACCTTCATAATTTTAAACCTTCTCTGAAAAAAAAGGAACCAGATAAGACAGCTGGGGGAACAATTAGTTTTTGTGATACCTGATAAAGCTTTAAAAGATTCTACTGAGTCCCACAAGAAGAACTGATTGTTAATTTCTCAAGAAATTCATACAATGCCAGAACATTTTCCTTTCCTCTTATTTTATGAAAAATACCAATCAAGTTGATAGATTTCATTCCTGGAACAATATGAAGAAATACATGTTCAATTATATACATATAATGTATGGCAATTATATTTGTTTTAAATAATGGTGATCTTGTGGTGATAAGGAAGGTATTTTGGAATCCATTGGATACTTCAGGTCTCCTCTTCAAGAAGAAAGGAAGAGGTCTGCTCCAGGTAGTTGTCTAGTTCCAAATATCTTCCAGTGTTTGCCTGATGACATCAGAGCTCCAACATAATGTGATATAAATTGTCCTTTCTCAGAGAGGAGTGGGAGAGATTGGATGGTTTTCAAAGATTTCAAAATCCTGTCACCCTTTAGTCCTGCTCATAAGAAGAAATACTTATCAGCTCAAGAACTGGTATACATAATTTCACTCCTATTATTATTAAGATTTAATCCTCAGTTCAATTCATAGTCTGGGACTGGTAAAATTTAGCAGTTCAAGTCCTAACCAAGGACTTAAGAGCTGTTAAGCTAACATCTGAGTATATAGGCAGTTCTGAGTAGGGTGGGTTTTTTTCCAAAGTCAAAATATTCAGGTGTGATAAGTTCAGAATTTTCATGTATCTAAGCAACCCTTTGGGTATTGTTACAAGGGCTCCTATGACCATTACTACTACTACTACTACTACTACTACTACTACTACTACTACTACTACTACTACTACTGTTATTGTTGTTGTTGTTCTGTTCAAGGGCTTTCTTCTTCCAGGAGACTGATGGCCAAGAGTCAGCACTGTTTCTGTCTCTGTGCCTTTCTTGCATGTTTTTCTAGACCAATCCAGTTATACTGTACATAGTTAAGTAGTAATACATAATTCAGTCAGCCTACTATTTGAGAACTATGTTATTGTTGTTAAAACTACTGTAATGAATTAATTCAAAAAGGGGGGAAGGGGTAGAATGTTTCTTGCCCAGTTTTTGTCCCAGAGTTTCATTTAAAGCAAAATTTGGATGCATGTTTAAAAATGCTTTGACATATGAAACATCCAATAATTTAATAGGAAGTAAAATGATTCTTGGTGACTAATATTTATAGCATGTTTCTATTGTGTAGTAAGGTAATTGTAAGGTCCTGCCTCAGCTAGTTCTCCCAAGAAAGCAGAACTCTTGAAACTGGCATTGTTTCAAAAGGAACTTTTATTGAGAGATAGTGAAAGCAGAAAAGCAAGGCAAGATGTGAATATTTCCCATGCAAAATATTACATTAAATCCCTGTCTTCAAAAACTCTCCCAAGTGCCCAACTGCTCAGTCCATTTCCAGCCAATCCACAGGTTTTTTATGGGAACTGGAAGTTGAAAGAGCAATAAAGCATGGTTCCCAGGCATTGCATCCTTTTCTCACCG